TTTAACCCGCTGCGCCACCAGGGAGGGCCCCATTTATTTATTCTTATGGATATGTTTATTAATTTTAAAACTTACTAACCTACTAGCTTAGTTTTAAAATATTAAAATGATCAGATATCTAAAAGAATGTGGCATTTTTATTTCTCCATTTTGAGACTTAGAGTAATGAAAAGAAGCTGTATCTATCACTACATATGTCCAGTTTCCAGATTTCTAAATAAGCCAATGATCTCCACTTGCCTTTAGTAAAAGATATGGTGTGTATATATATATATATTTCTATATATATATGTGGGGGGGGGGATTGGATGCTATTCAGCTATATAAAAAAAGATGAACTTTTGGCATTTGTGACAACACGGTTGGAACTGAAAGGGATTACGCTTAGCAAAAAAAGTTAGGAGAAAGATAAACCCTGGATGATTTCAGCATATGTGGAATATAGAGAAACAAAATAAAGGAATAGTCTAAAACTAAACCAAAATCAATGCTAGAAATCTGACTATGGAGATCTCCCCTCTGAGGCTACCAGAGGGGAGGAGTGAGGTGTGGGTAGCAAAGTAAGGAGGGATCCAATGACCTACAAAAAGGACTGTGAGTGTTTTGGTGAATTGGGGTGGGGGGGGAGAAGGGCGGGGAGAGGGCCTGGGAGTGGTGACAGACATCCAAAGAGATGTGAACGTATACCCCTATATCATATATAGTGTTGCAAACCAATGTAACAGCAACAAAAAATAATAGAATTTTTAAAATTATAAGGTGATGAGAGAGGAGGGTGGGAGATACATTTCTGTTGCATATTCTTTTATACCTATGATATGCACCAATTTAAATAAATATAATAATCAGTTGTGGAAGTTTAGTAAATAACATGGAAAGATGGTTGTAATATATTGTTACCTAAAAAAAAAATGCTGTTTGCTAAAAGAAAATACAATGTTCATTTTTATAAATTAAAAAAAAAAATTAAATGACATATAAAAAATAATTTAGTTCTCTTTTTTATAGCTCTAACAACTTTAATCACTGCCCAGATGGACACTTTCTCACATGATCTTGTGAAAATTCTGCAGTCATGTGATTATATTAATATATTCCTTTGCTTATTTTCCCCCATAAATCAAACTTTAGGTGTATAATAATCCTCCCTTATCTGCAGTTTTGCTTTCTGGGGTTACATGGGGTCAACCACAGTCTGAAAATATTACCTTCAATAGGATATTCTAAGAAATATCACATTTATTTTCCAGCATGTCATAATTATTTGATTTTACTATGAGTTATTGATGTTAATCTATTGCTGCCTTGTTTGTAAATTAAAATTTATCACAGGGAATTATCTGTAGGAAAAAATAGCAGATATAAGGTTAGTACCCTCTATAGTTTCAATCTCTGTGAAAAAAGTTAATTCTGCTCTTCATTTTAGAGTATCCCATTTGGTATGAAGTCTGCTGTTGAAAGAGGATTATCTGCTGTTTTCTATACATTTAGCCGTAAAACCTCAAGCTCAACAATCAATGTCTCAGATGAAGCAGGTTATACTATTTTCCATCATGCTGCTCTACACAACAGAGTTTCTATTGTATGTCAGCTGTGCAATTCCAACTTCAACATAAACCAGAGGCGCTTTGTTATGGTTAGCCAAGGTACCATAAAGTTTAAAATCTAAAATGTTTTTCTTTTACCCCTTTTTAGCATTGAGAAGGCATATTGATTTCAGACCAGTGTCGATTTAGTATTGGTAGCAAAAGTCAAGTTGAGGGTTTTTTTGGTTTGTTTCCTTTATCACAGAGGAACTCCTCTAGTTCTCTAAGTTATCTCTTACTGCAGGAAGTTTTTTACAACTAAGGAGAGTGATAAAGGGTCAGGAATGGCTGATGCAACACTGGCAATAAGAAATAGTGACTGTATTTTAACTATTTTAGCTATCTTAAACTATAAAGTTTGCATACACCAAAGCAAAATATTCAGCTTTGATCCTATTGCATGCTAGTAAATTCTGTGCCTATCAGCATGATTAAAATGTTTTGATATTAACATAAATTACTTGATTAAAATGTTTACCACAGAAGGAGCCCATTAAAATAAAGCACAAATGCGGCAGTCACAAAAAGAAGTGTTCTGATATCTTTTCTGGTGTAAAAAGTCTTGGGTAATGAAAGCCTCACATTCATCCTGGGACTGCTTGGAATTCTTGTTGCTAAGGATTGGGTAGATTCTGAAGTATGGGTGTATTTCTACTGGCAATATCCATATATTATTAACCACCACAAGCCTTCCTCAAATGTGAGTTTTGACCAGTCGCTTGACAGGCAGCATTCTAGTGCTGCTCTGACACCTTGTAGGCTGCATGCCCTGTGTCTGCGTGGCTTGAAAGTTACAGTTGATCCTATTTGATCTAATTCTGCCATTTGTATGTAAACATAGCCAATTTATTCATAGTCATATGATCTTATTTTGACTAATTTAGGAAGTGGCTATATGTTAATAATTATACTTCTGTGTGTATTCCCTTTTAAAACAGAGTCATCCAAAATGGACATGAAAAGAGAAAGAAATGGTAAGACATAACTAAAATGTTATTTTTCAAAAGGCTATTCCTCAAAGTTCTGTACACTCTTGTAAACCAAGTATACATCAATTCAAAAAGGAAAAGGCTATGACACATATTAAGACTTTTTCTTATGGCTTACAGTCTTCACGTGCTGTCACAGATTGTAGATCGTGGTGTTTTGTATACATGTTGAAAAATACACATTTTTCTATCCATGGTTATTTATTCATATCTGACTTTACTGTGTGATTTTTACTGGTTTATTTTATTTTTTTTGTAAAATCAGACTTAAAAGTAGTTTGTATGATTTTTTTTTTAAATGCAGTTCATGTAACTTAGATATGTGGCTGATAGAGACAGAAATAGTCCATGAGATCTGAGGAATGAGTCATTCTTTAATGAGGCAAGAGACTTAATCAACTCTAGGATACAGAGAAAACAAAGTGTAAAAGACTTTTTGAAAGCTTTACCTTAAAGCTTAAAGCTGTGTATGGTATTCAGAAGGGTTTGTTTTTAAAGATACTATTCAGAAAGGTCTGGGGGCAGTTTCTCAAATAGCTACTTCTATTGGTGGAGTAGAGCTATTGTGAAGTTAAGTGTCCTGACCTCATTCTTCTTCCTCCATTCTCCTGCCAGGGTCTCCCAAGGGAAGATTTTGAATAGAAGCCAGGGAATAGGGCTTATTAAATCTGCAGAGGCACAGACAAGCAGAGAGCAGGGTGTAAAAGGGAAGAAATGGGCATGTAGGATAAGGAAGCTTATCCAAGCCTCCTAGTCTGTAGGAATGTTTCAGTATAACAAGAGTCCTCTTCTAGTACTGTTCTTTTACTTTCTTTAAACATCACTTCTGGATACACTTATAATATTGTTTGTTTGCTTATTGTTTGTCCTTCACTTAACATTTAAGCTTCATTTAAGCTCCATAAAGGGCAAAGGTTTGTATTATTTTGTCATAATATCCTAAGTCCGAGGAGACAGCCTGACAGCAAAAGGTGATCAGCAGTAGTTGCAGAATGACCGTGGATTGATGAATGCAGAGCAGCATTTCCCAATTATTGGCATAAGTAATCAATATTGATATACTGTAGAAATTCAAAAAAGGGGGGATAAGTATGGCTTTACGGTCCCAATCAATTTTTTTCAGGTACCCACCTAGTCCTTAGACTTTTCAGTCAGAGAATAGTTTCATCAGATTACATAAAACTGAATACATAAAAATAATTACATAAAACCCTCCAAAACTCACCTGATTCTAAAATATACCAGGATAGTGTTTCTTATCCTTAGCACTATTGACGTGTGGGTTGGATAATTCTGTGTTGTGGAATGCATTGTACAAGGTGGTATGCCTGGACCCTCCCATTAAATATTAGCATCAACCCTCAGCCCAATTGTGACAACCAAAAATATCATTAGATATTATAGATATATGGGGGAGGCACTTTATCCTTCTAAACTGGAATAAACTTTCAAGAACAAAGTAGCCACCCAGGGATCTGATGCAGATTCTGATCCTGAGGCTGGGTGGGAGTTAAGATTCCGCATTTCTTTTAAGCACACCTTAAAGTAGTAGTAAGCAGATAAAAGACTAAACTCCTGCTCCTAGATTGTGCTGCTATATTTTTTGAAGGAACGTGTTGAGAGGATAGTTAGAGGGTCAGTAAGGAAGGTTGCTGTGGATTAAAAAGATTCTTCTGGTCATTTTGATATATTTTTCCTGCTGAGAATACTAATTGCTTTTCATTGGTTGAAATGAAATAATGTGTTCTATAGACCTATGAATTTGTCTCAGTTTTTGGGGTGTCTGTTCTTGGACTTGCTTCTCAATCCCCCCTTACAGGAAGCTGGAGTTGGGTATTTCCCTGCCCCTAGGTAGGATGGGCTCTGATATTCCCCCCGCAGGTCAGACTCTGGGTAAAATAATTTCTCTTGAGAAATTATTGTTAAGAATGTTTTGATGTATTTTAAAATGTGTCCTTTTACTCCGCAACTGCCAAAAGTAGTTGGAGATTTTTTTCCCACATTTACGGTGAGAATCTATCTGGTTGAGTTGCACAAAATAAAATCTACTTAAAATGGGGACCCACACCCAACTGGGTTCCCTTGAATTTATTCTCTTACTTGTCCACACTGAGCCTCTAGCAGTTTGTCAATTACAGTATGCTTCCCCTACTCCACAGCTAATGGAAGTATTATTCTAGTGGCAATTACTGCTCTAGCTAGGGTTTCATGAATCTTTGTTATCTGCCTGTCTCTCCAGTGTTGGAGGTGGGGCTTTCCCTTCAAGCTAATGGATTTTAAGAGTTAATGATTTTTCTAGTTTCTTAAGATTTAACTGTTGTTGGGATAGAGTGGTGACTTTTAAGCACTTTAACATGCTGGACATAAACAGAAAGACTAAGCAGTAATTATAAGTAGATGGCTTTGGGTCCAGTGTTCTAGATAATTAAAGGCTATGATATAAAGCTTATTCACTAAGTCAGGCAGGTGGTCATTGGAAGTTTCTGAGTTGGAAGAAAGACAGTTTCACTGAGAAAATACCATTGTTACTGAGCAATGAATAAGAGTTAGCTAGACCCTGGTCAGGGAAGTGTTGTTTGGAAAAGGAAGCTTCCAGACAGCAGGTACAGTCCAGAGTGGCTCAGTAGTTCATCCTTCAAACCAGGGATGCATGACAATAGAAAAGGCACTGTTGATACAGGAATAGGGCTCCCTGGGATATGTGTCGATGTGTTGATGCTCAACATTTGAGGAGCTACTGGAAAGCTTCAGTGATGACAACAAAGTATGTATGCTGTAGATTTTGGGGGTGGAGAATTACGCTGGTTAAATTGGAACCAGTGGATCCGTTTACTATACACATGATCAAATGAAACCACTGAAGAGTTTTGACAAGCAAGCAGATAAAAATATCGGATTTACATTTTGAGAACATAGATTGAGGAAGGCAAAAATAAGGCGGGGGTATAAGTTGGGAAGTGATTATAGAGCAGAGCAGAGCATTTGTGGCCATAAAGATAAGTTTCAGAGATATTAAGTTGTGGTCATGAACTGATTATGAAGATAAAATGATAGGGAGTTGCCAAGGAGTCTTTCAGGTTTCCAGGTAGAACTGGCGTGATGATGATATCTTCGCTAACTTAGGAGTGCAATTAAAGAGAACTAGGTTTGGAGGAAAAGATAGTTCCATGTTGAAGATGGTATATTTAAGGTGATATGTGGAAATGCCTAGTAAAATACTGAGATAAGGTTTGGAATTTAGAGACAAAACCAGATGTAGAGGCATAATATTGGGACTGTAAATGAAGCCAGTGGGAAAATAAAAGGTCCAAGGCAATGCTTTCAGTTTCATTTAAACATTAGTACAATAAAGATGTCCCAAAGAAGACTGAAAATAAGTAAGTAACCAGAGAGACAACAGAAAAATAAGAGGGTGTGATATAAAAAAATTCAAGGGGTGGCCCTCCCTGGTGGCGCAGCGGGTTAAAGCACTGCACTAAGAAGCTAAAGCCACTTCCGCATGAGTTCGATCCCCGCCTGCCCGGGAGGTGACCACATGGCGTGGCAGACCTCTCCTGACCCGCCCACTGCTCCCCTCAGCAGTGTACTTCGTGGATCTGCCTGTTCTGCTCCCTACTCTGTTCTCTGGTGAATCCTCTCACCCTCCGCATCTCTGGCCTGTACCCCAGTTCTGTATGAATAAATAAATAAATCTTTTAAAAAAAAATTCAAGGGAAAAAACTATTTTAAGGGGGAAGAAGTGGTTAACTTATTGTTAAGAAATATAAGAATTAAAAAAAAACACTGGATTTAGTTGACAGAGCAGACTTTTGTGGGGATTTTTTTTTAAATAGAAAATTTAAGCAAAAAGTATATTACATTAAGAAGACTATTTTACACATTCCTAGTTTTTCAGCTATTTAGTATTTTCAGTATTATTTTTCTTGGAAAGAAGTATTGATTTTTTTTTTTTTTTAGTGGTTAGGCATCCTGAGTTAAATAAAGAAATAAATACAATTAGCTAAATTAATCCTTACAGTGTTTATTTTGGTGCTGTTGTATCACATAACACAAAGCTCTGTGGTTGGATAGCAAAGAGACATGTATTTTTAGGAATGTCAGAGCTTTGAGTACTGAAGTTCCTACCAATCTACTCTAGGTCCGACCCCTCTCCATTTGGCTGCTCAGGCTTGCTCATTAGAAACGACCATCTGTCTACTCTGTTTCAAAGCTGATTACCTGCTTTCTGAAAAGAGAGGCTGGATGCCAATTCATTTTGCTGCTTTCTACGACAATATCTGTATCATCATTGCTCTCTGTAGGAAGGATCCTAGTTTGCTAGAAGCTGAGGCGACAGCTGAGTGAGTTATTAAGTATTTGTAAAAATACTGCTTTTGATGCTTGCCCAAACACTGATGATAAAAGGAATGGATGGTAGCATTAATTTGAAAGGCTTGCTATGCTATTCTTTGTGGCTTACTATCTTCTCTATCCAGTTATCTTTATAGTTCATGAGGATGGAAACTTCTAATCTATTCATGTTTTTTGGAGGAATGCAAATAAGCCTTAATCTTTCCCAATGTATAATTAGGTTAACTACTTGTACCCTGGAAGAAGCCTGAGACTAGAGAGAAGAAAGTTGCTCTAAATAGGACCCTGAACAATCAGGAAGTCACCCCCAGGACTCTAGTCCGAAGAAGACAGACCCTCAGGAGCAATATCTAGTGGTATCCAGAATAGAAATACATTAAAAAATAATAACTTTGAAATAGAGAAACTTTGCACATACCCTTTTGTTTTACAATTTATCTGAGTTCCAAACTTTAGAATATGGATATGGCTTCTTGGCTAGTTACTTAAAGACAAGGTTATTATTTTAAATCTCTAAGCCTGATTTAAGCATTGTTTCCTTCAGTTAGGTCTGTATGTTTGAGCAACTTTGTCATTATTATTCACTGAAGAAATTAATACTCTAAATCAAGGCAAAGATAACACTGCTAGTCAGTAGATTAGTTAAGATACATTTAAAATTGCTATAAACAAAGATACCCAAAATTATTGTAGTTTAATCAAGATAAACATACAGTTTGTTTCTTGTGAAGTCTGGATTTGTGGTCGAGGCTAAAATAAGGACTTGAGAGTGTGGGGAATACAAATTTCCCCTTGTTGTTTTTTAATACATGTTTCTATATCGTAGAACAAAATAGCTACTCTTTCTACCATGCCTGTATTCTGAGAAGAAAAGACAGGTAAAGTAAGGGCACACTCCTTTTCTTTCTTTAGGGAGTTTCCAGGTAACGTCCATACCCATCGAAAAGGGAAGTTAGGAAATGTAACATTTAGCTGAAGTCATGTGCCAGCTAAAAAGCAGACCGTAGGTTTTTAGAAACACTATTAATCACTGCTACCCTGATAAAGTTGGGATTTGAGAGCTTGAATATGAAGTACAAAGAAATTAGTTAGGAGCGGCCTTCCAGGTGATGCAGGGGCTAAAGTCTCAGCCCTATCAAGCTACTGCCAGCCACTGAAGTGTGAATTTGATCTCACAGCCAGGGAGCTGACCCACATGGCCCAGCAGACCTCTCCTGCCTGGACCACTGCTCCCCTCCACAGTGTATTTCAGTACATCTGCCTGTTCTGCTTCCCACTCTGTCTCTGGTAAATCCTCTCACCCTCCGCATCTCTGGCCAGCACCCCAGTTCTTGTATGCCTAAATAAATCTTAAAAAATTAGAACATTGCTTGGATTTTAGTTTCATCATTTTTTAAATTTTTGCCTTGTTTTATCCTTCACTATTAGAATTATAAGGGGAAAAAAAGAGGTAGTCTATTCTAAAACCTTTGCATGATCAACTTTGTAATAAATTTTAATGCATAGTATTAAAATTCGGAGGGAGGATAGGAACAAATACTAGGGACAGCCAAGCAAGGGAGACCAATTTGTTTACATGTGAAATGTAAAGAAAAAAACTGCAAGGAAGAGAAACTGATGGTATAAATCAGACATCTTTTAACAGTTTGTATAATCTTACAAAAAGTATATTTGACTCTGTATGTGGTCAGTTATTAAAATGTTCTTCTTGATTTTAGGAATCAGTGTACCCCACTGTTACTGGCTGCCACCTCAGGAGCATTGGACACTATTCAGTACCTATTTTCTGTTGGTGCTAACTGGAGAAAAACAGATATTAAAGGAAATAATATAATTCATTTATCAGTGCTAACCTTTCATACAAAGGTTCTTAAACATATCATTGACTTAAATATTCCTGAACTCCCAGTTTGGAAAACTTTGGTAGGTGAGTATAGAACACATGACCTCTTTATAAGTAAATATTCTGATTTATCAGCTCAATTATTAATGCTCTGAAATAGAGCAAATAAAATAATACATGTGTCATACTTTAAATATTTGAAAATAAGGAAGTATTTTTGAGTTAAAACCAGAAATATGTATTTTTCTGAATGCAAAAGCAGTTTTATTTATAAAGAATAATGATCCAGACTATAGTTTAAGCAATTATATTCAGTTGTGTTTCCAGTTTTCTCTAAAAGCCCCAACATCTTTTTATCCACCATAAAAGCAAATTTAAAAAGAAAAGGAAAGTAGGAGTAAATTAAAGTGTGTGTAGAAAAGCTTCTTCACCTAATTTGAGGGACAGTCAATATCTTTCCACTTGAATTTTGTGAGAAATTCTGTCGGAGATTTTATTCCAAATTGGTATTGTCTTGCCAGAAATATTACAAAAGGAAGGGTGACTAGACCAGTTGAATGTGCACATCTAATTTTACTCCCTCGAAAACAACACCAAAATCACATGGTGACTCTATAACATTATGATGCCACCAGGAGCAGGAATAGCAGCAGCAGCAAACAAGCATATAGGGAAGGATATACCAACAATAAAGTTTTGGAAATAGATGAGTAAGTTTTAGCACTTAGCAGACTAAAGAAATCATACCAAGCCAGTCTGGGAAAGCTGGGACCCTCTTGAACTCACAAAGGAAATCCTCAATGGGCTGGAGATCTGGGGGTGCAGTTGGTGGGAAGTGTGCTCGCCAGAGGCTGACCAGGGAGATCCCAAGGCACTGAGGCTGGAGTTCTCCCTCACAAACAGAAGATTGGAAGCCCTACTCAAGAGAAAAGAAAGGAGCATTTCCAAGATGAAGCCCCAGAATGAAAGGCCTGTCTATGCCCAGGCCAAAGGGGGAATGTGGGAGAAATTAGCAATAATGACAAAGAAAGTTAAACAGGTGAAATAAAATAAGGACATGATTACCACTAGGACAAACAGTAAGAAAGCAGATGCAACTGTAGTGCTCTGCAAGGCTTACTAGTGAATAATAGCTGCATAGAGGAAGAAGAGAAAATGGCAGGGTAGTATTGAAAAAGCTAATTTCTCATTTAGCATAATATCATTAATCTATGATCTCTAAAATCACAATAGCCAAAGGTGACAATGTACGTTTTAATAATACATTTAATACATTAAAGGAACCAAAAAAAAAAATGAAGTGAATTTGAGTATGAGAAAAAATATTTCCCCCAACTCGTTTGAAGTTAGGTAATATGTAAGATTTTCAACAGCATTCTGCTGATTCAAAGGAGTCCAATAATTGGCCAAAATAGACTCACTATCTGATTTTGGTATTTTTCTGGGTAGTGTGAAAACATTCCAAGTATATCAGTTCCAAGAGATATTTTAAAGTTTTCAATGTCCATTTTTTATGCATATATATCATTATATCTTGTTCTTCTTAGGAAGAACTGAGAACAGCTTGTTATTTTTAATAGTCACTGAAACACTTACCTCCTTAGCTGGATGCAACAGCTCCTAACAGGAATAGCCTTAAGGAACAAAAACTTTCTGACAGCTACTCTGCTCACACCAACTGTTGGGAAGTCCTCACACAACAACCAGTGAACATCTGACTGCTGCTTTGCTCTGTGCTCTGGAATAGATTTCCCTCGTCAGTGTGCCATTTCCACCAGAGTAAAAGAATTAATCTCCAGTATTAACTCTTGGAATGAAAGTTGAATTTTACTTGGCTTCCATAGAACGACCTACCCAATGAAGGACTTAGGGCCAGGTTTCTTATAACAGGAACTGATAAGGGAGATAGGGATAATTTCTATGTGGTTTTCCTTGTACCTTACATGTTGTTTGGAAGCATGTATGCTTATGTTATCTTCTCTCTGGAGTATGAATTTATCTAGATTTTTTTAAAAAATATTTCTTCATGCTCAGGAAATGTATAAATGTTTATACATGATTTAATGGATATGATCTTTTTATTGACATGGTTGTAGTTTGCTTTGCCATCCTTGAGAACCTAAACAGTTTTTAACAAACAGCTGATTTCAGATGAGAGGGATGTGCTATTTTCAAAAGTAAATTTAAAATGTGACCATATGACAACTAATTCAGGTCATTCAGATCAAAATTACTATATATTGGTAGATTATAAACCTCACCAATCACCTTTGTTTTAATTTATTCAGTCCTCACAGAAGGCCATGCACAGAGGGAATTTTAATGAATGTAGGTGATATGATTTCAACCCTTGACTCCACTTGATCTATGAAGAACTAATCATTACATTCCCTCTTGTGAAATTATGATGTGTTTTTTTGTTGAATGCTTAACAGAAATGTTGCAGTGTGAAAGTTACAAGCGAAGGATGATGGCCGTCATGTCCTTAGAAGTAGTTTGCTTAGCAAATAATAGATACTGGAAATGCATTTTGGATGCAGGTGATATAAATTTTTTAATCTATCTTTTGCTTCTCTTGTTTATGTAGAGTATATTATATTTAGTCAATCACTTTTAATGTATTTTTAATTGTGGAGGAAACATTTTAGTTAATTTTAATGTTTTTCTTTATTGTAAGATCTCTTTTTTTACCTGTTAATCTCTTATTTTCCACATGGAAGCTGCACAGGAGCAAAAACTCTATGAATTCCATTTCTCTAGACATTTGCAAACTTTAAACTGATATTAAATTACTTAACCGTGCAACCTCATTGTCTTCCACTTAAAATTAACCCTATTATCTACTTGCATGATTTAATTGTCAAAAATAGGTATTATGGTGCCAGGGCTGGATTCATAACTAGCTTTGTATTTAGAATTTAAGCTAATTGCTTACCTTCCCTAAACCTAAATTACTCACTGATAAAACAGTTCCTCAGCGTCCATGTAGAAAAATAATGAAATTAGAATCAGTGGTCAGAAGTTACAAGACATTTAAATATATTGAAGAACATTCTAAAAAGTAGTTTTTATTAAAAAAATTCTAATTACTTATAGATTCTGGTCACGCTGTTCTTTTGAGCAGATGAGGTTGTTCTTTGCCCTGGCTCTTCCTCTGCCTAAAATATTCTTCCCCACATAGTTGAGAGGCTAACACCCTTGTTTCTCAAATTGTTGTTCAATGAGCTTTGTAAGTCAAGTAGGGCTCTGCTTAATGTGTGATTATATTCACACCAGGTACTAAGTTGATGAAGCAGGTATCATCTGGAATGTTACTGATAGCAGAGAAAAGAGAGCTCTGGAAGGTTTATCACCAAAAAAAAAAGTCTCAGTTTCATGACCAGTGAGGCTGGCCATGATTGGAAAGGGAATTGGAAATGAAAAGAATGTTATTTGGAGAGACAAAAACAAAATTTAAAAAGTGGTTCCTACCTCATAGAATCATTCTGAAAATAACACTGCCAAATGTAATTTTAGGAAAGGATGGAAATTGTCTGACACAGTGGCCACAACTCTAATGTGAATGCATATGAGATGCTCCATGAATATTTGTTGATTGAAAAACAAATTATTTCTAGGTTACCTAGAAAAATTTATTCTAGGTAACCTCCCAATGTTACCAAAAGACACACTTACCAAAAGATCTGTGTCCAAAAGTGAATGATAAACAAATGAGGGTGGTTTCACTTCATTAGACAAATAATTTTGCATAAATAAAGCCCTGATCATAGCCGTGGTATTTCCCAGCATTTCATGTGTGTGACATATAAAGTTCTCTTTTATTTTGAAATGGTCAGATTTTGTATTTTCACCGTGCCCAATGATGTACTTCTTCAAACCAATTGATGAGGCTAAGCTTGCTTTTTTCTACTAGACTTGGCATTTTATTTTTTTTTTCAGCTTATTGCATAACTTATGGTTAAAAAGTCCTCAAGTGATTACAAACGTTTGACGAAATAGCCAGCAATGAACTCTACCATATGGTGGTTGAAAGAGATTATTTATCAAATATCTTATGCCAAAATTGATCGATTCAAAAAACTTAAGCCAAAAATGAATTGTAGGATTGTGTACCAGGTGAAAATCAAATGCATCCCACGTGGATTCTAGACAAGTTCTGTAGTTTGTTTTTTTTTTTCTGTGCATGCATTTTTTAATATAATAGTTTATTTTTACATCACTTTTTGCCTTTTCCATCACAAATAGTTGTAACCCCCATGGGCTTCCCATCACCAAATCACCTGTGTGCCATCACCATAGTCCAGCGCACTTCCCTCCCCCCACCATTTTTGAACCCATTCCCCATCCCACCCCCGTAAAATGTCTCTGATATATAGTTGTTCATTCTTATTATTATCTCCCGTAGTCCTTTATACTCCTGCTATGAGTGAAACTAAGTTCTGTAGTTTTAAATGACAATTTTGTTAAGTGTTTTTAATGGAATTATATGGCAAACCCTTGGATACTTATCATCCTATCATGATAAATTCACCACAAATGGTTACAAATAGTTTTTCCTTCATCTCTTGATTGTAGGCACCATTCCTGCCTTAATCAATCTATTGAAAAGTTCCAAAATAAATTTACAGTGCAAAACAGTTGGGTTATTGAGTAATATCTCAACCCATGAAACAGTGGTACACGCCATAGTCGAGTCAGGAGGAATCCCAGCGCTCATCAACCTGTTGGTTTCTGAAGAACCTGAACTACACTCTCGCTGTGCTATCATCCTTTACGACATCGCTCAACGTGAAAATAAGGATGTTATTGCCAAATATGTAAGTTTTCTGTCATAAAACATCATTTCACTGATAGTAATCCCTCATATGGAAGCTAAACAGATACACACCCAGATTATTATGCAGTGACAAAACTTTTAAGATTGAAGAACTCCAGTAACAATGAGGATAGTGAAGAGCAAAGCTACCACAGTCTCAGCAGTGCCAAGAGAAAAAACCAGTAAGCGCAGGACAGTTTCAAAACTTGCATAGCAGGGTTCTGTGGCTCTCCTGTCCCCAAGTCCCAAAGGGCAACACAGTACCTAGTGACCCTTTGATAGCAACCAGTAAGCAAGCCTGCTTTTTGTGTAGAGCAGGATGCTACCACTCCAGGTAAGCTTGCTTGCTACATGAAAATCTTGAGTAGTAAAAGAGCTTTTTCTCTCTTGATAATACTATATATATAGGTAGGAAGATAAGAGGCCCGAAGAAGGTTGTTTTTCAAATAAACTATCTGGCAAAACCAGCACTAGGGGTAATATGGAAGGTCAATGTAATCTAATTGTGCAGCAGAAAGAAACAGATGAAAAGATTTTTGAACACCAAGTATTCTTTGCCATGCTGTATTTTCTCAAATAAAATCCATCATGTTATGTCTGCTAATGTTTTAATATACCAAATAGAGATATAGTATATCTGATAGATATAATAATGTCACACTTGTGGCCTGAATTCTATCTTTATCTGATATTGTTTGTGTTCTCTGTTTTTGTTGTAGTCTCATGTTTAATTTGGTTTTTCATCTTTTTAAAGCTTTATGAGTCATTTTATTTCTTGTTGGTTGGAAAATATACTACAAGTCCAGAACCACCGTGCCTGCCTCCAGAAATAGTTGCTCATTAGTCTTATTCACTCAGATTTTGTAATCTCCAGTTAATAACCCAGAGTTGTATAACTGTGTTCTGTGTTCAGTATATTTAGGTTCTGCTTTGTTGTTCATTATTTTCTTTATTGTAGCTCATTTACATTTATTGTTGTGACACGTTTTATCTTAGTTCTATTATTAGTGTTTTTCAAACTTCTGACTACCAGTGTTTATCTTTAAAATCTAAGATATATATCAGTGTTAGTCACCTATTTTTCATGGGACTTGAAGTTGTACCCTTTTTTTTTTTTTTAAGATTTATTTATTTATGCATACAGAACTTGGGTACAGGCCAGAGATGCAAGGGCAGTGAGATAGAGTGGGGAGCAGAACAGGCAGATTGATGAAGTAAATCACCTCCGGGGCAGGTGGGGATTGAACTCATGTGAAAGTGGCTTTAGCTTCCTAGTGCTGTGCTCTAACCCGCTGCGCCACCAGGGAGGGCAAAGCTGTACCTTTTAGCACATACATTGTCACTTTCATTTTTGGAATGCTTACTTGAATTCATTCACACTTTGAAAGATGTAGTTTTTTTCTGTAGGTTTTTTTTTTTTTTTTTTCAGTTCATTCTTACAAGTACTATTTGAAAACCTATTATTAAGAGGTTTTTTTTATATGCTAGATGCTGGGGTTGTACCATTGAGTAACAGACAAAATCCTAGCCTCCACAGTTTTTATTCTAGTTGGGGATGATAGTTTCTGTTTATCTTTGTTAATATTCTTGCATTATTCATGTTAGTAGGGAGAAATGTATCTTCAGTCTAGTTAACAATAATATTTTGTATTGTACAACTATAATTACCAATTCTAGTTTAATATCTGCAATGGCAAATATATTGAAATGGACCCTGTAGTCATATGAACCCTAGTTGCTTTGTTTTTAGATACTTATTAAATATTACAGTGTTCTTACAGTCTCATTTTATTACAAAGGAAACCATTTTAAAATATATTTACCAATTTTTACCTTAAAGTATAAGCTATGCTCAAAAGTTCTATTGACTTCTGTATCAGTAGACACATTTATTTACAGGCAAGTGCCATTTTCTAATTAAGCACATAATTATAACAATAATATAATAGGGGCCTCCTTGGTGGCACAGAGGGTTAAGTTGCAATCCTATGAAGCTGTATGTAGCCACTGTAGCACGAGTTCTATCACTAGCTAGGCAGGCCATTCCTGTCTCGCCCTCTGCTCCCCTCAGCAGTTTATTTTGATAGATCTACCTGTTTGGCTCCCCCTGCACCTCTAGCCTGCACCCCAGCTTTTGTATGTATAAATAAATACATCTTTAAAAAAAAAGCTAAGATTACAGACATATTCTCGTATGAAGATTGCATGTGTTTTAAATAAACTTTATTATAATTATTTTTTTGTTTATTTTTAGAATGGAATCCCAGCTCTTATAAATCTCTTGAAATTAGACATAGAAGATGTGCTAGTAAATGTGATGAGCTGTATACGGGTGTTATGTATGGGAAATGAAAGCAATCAAAGAGCAATGAGAGACCATAAAGGCATCCAGTATCTTATAACATTTCTGAGTTCTGATTCAGGTGAGCCTCTGTCTCTGTAGTTTTGTAAAGCAATCAATCGAAGAAAATGAATGAAGCACAGCTTTGGACTCATTCTAACTGAATAGGGTTTATCCCAGATGAGTGTTGATGTAAGGATGGGTCTAGACAATGTAACCTAAATCTCTGGAGCACTTAAATTTAAACTGTTGGGTTTTTAAAGAAATTGATTCTCAAAGACATGATTTTATAATATATCATTAATGAAGTTAATGATATGCTGTATTTTGACATTTTCACTTTTCAAAAGACTGATCTAATTGGATCTTGAATTCATTTGAAGATGTTCTGAAGGCTGTATCTTCTGCTACCATTGCCGAGGTTGCACGTCACAACAGGGAAGTTCAGGATGCGATAGCAATGGAAGGAGCCATCCCTCCTCTGGTGGCTCTCTTCAAAGGGAAGCTTAGTGTCCAACTGAAAGGTGCAATGGCTGTGGAATCACTGGCAAATAACAACCCTCATATACAAAAAGCATTTCTGGAAAGATCATTAACGAAATATCTCTTAAAACTCCTCAAGGTAGGAAATGACTCTCATTTTTCTCAGACAAACTATTCAATATTGCATTTTGCTAAGCGAAAAGAAAACCGAAACCAATTCTGCAATAAACATTTTCTTTTCTTGTTTTTTTTAAAGACTTATTTATTTGTGCATACAGAACTGGGGTTCAGGCCAGAGGTCCAGAGGCAGTGAGAGGATTCACCAGAGACAGAGTGGGGAGCAGAACAGGCAGATAGATGAAGTACACTGCTGCGGGGAGCAGCAGGCAAGACAGGAGAGGTCTGCTGCACCATGTGGGTTACCTCCGGGGCAGGCGGGGATCCAACTTGCACTGAAGCTGTGGCCAGCTTGCAGTGTTGTGTCCCAACCCGTTGCACCACCAGAGGGTCCAATAAACATTTTCTAAAACATACTTTCATACAGTTCATTACTCATTGAATGAATGGATTTTTTTTTTTTTAAATAGGCATTTCAAATAGATGTTAAGGAACAAGGAGCTGTTGCACTCTGGGCCTTGGCAGGACAAACACTGAAGCAACAAAAGCATATGGCAGAACAGATTGGATACAACTTTATAATAAATATGCTTTTGTCACCATCAGCTAAAATGCAGTATGTTGGTAAGTTATTTTCTACACATATGTGCAGGACCTACAGCAAGGCTTTTGAATGTCAGATGTGTCTCTTGCTTTTCTTTCCCAGGAGGGGAAGCTGTCATAGCTCTCAGTAAGGACAGCAGGCTGCATCAAAATCAAATATGTGAAGGGAATGGAATTGCACCATTGGTTCGTTTACTGAGGATTAGCAAAATTGCAGAAGGCACTCTTCTGAGTGTCATCAGAGCAGTGGGATCCATTTGTATTGGTTTGTACATTGTCAATTTTCAAAATATCAATAAGATAAAAGGCTCACTTCTCTTCCTTTCTTTCATACTCCTAGAATCTAAAACATTTTTAATCTATAAAAGCCTATTTGAATTCTTCTTTCAGTCTCCAAAGATAAAGTAGTGTCATTAAGAATTTTATATTGGTCTTGCTCTTGAACTCTGGTTAGCAAAGGAAATGAGGACAGAGAGACTTGGTTGCTTTTAAGAGAGAGATACTTTTCTTTTGAATCTAAAGAACTGTACATTTTTGAAGATAGAGATGTTACCAATGATGGACACGTTTTTTAGCTCCAATCTTTTTCCGTATGATTCTGTTTATAAAATGGACAGCAGGTTGATTTTTTTCCTTTCTTTGAAAGGAATTGACATTTTGAGATATCTGCAAAGTGTAAAAGGGTCTAATTGACCACTGAGGTGCTAAAAACCAAAATTTGGTTTCTTAGTTTATTTGTCATAAATTGGTTGTCCATACATGTGTGGCTTCATTTCTGGTCCCTCAGTTATGTACCATAGATCTGTGTTTATGTTTTTATTGCAGTATTAGTTTTAGACAAGTCTCTTTACCCTTTGAAATCTTCCTACCAATCTCTTTTTTACCTATTCTGAAGTGAGTAAATCTTTTTATATGGTTCAACTTTGTTTCAATTAAAGAACTCATTGTACAACTGCAATCATGTATTTAAAAAGTTGTTTTCCTATAAGCAACTTGAGAGCAAAGACTCAAATACCTCTTTTCAGCCCTGTTTTCTACTTCAGTTCTGGTATGTTAGACATTCAATATCAATCATTTGAATGAGTAATATTCATATAATTAGTGTTTATGTACATCACCAGGTGGCTAGCATAGGACAGGGGTCAAAGAAACAAATGTTTTCTTTGTTCCTTCTATTTCTGTAAGTTCCTTCAAATTTCCCCAAATTATAATTAGTAAGTGGTTTCTCTTTCTTGTTATTTACAGGGAACAATCTTGTAATTATATTTAAGCATATAAACTAACTATGGTGTTTATTGTCAAAAGACCACAATTATAATTTTCTAGTAGAAAGAGGCTATTTATGTTTTTCTATTAAATTAGGCCTAAAATTTAAAGTATCAGTATTTATGTTATGAAAGGAGAGACTAAGATTATCTTTTTATTCTAAGGAAACCAGAAATTTAAGTCAGGTAACTTACTCTACTGATTTTTATAAAAACAAGTTTTTAATGGAAAACAATAGCAATTATACATTTAAGTACCTAACAAAAAATTCTTCAATAAATAATAGCTGTTAGTCCTTGCTAGCTTAGCACTTTTTTGAAAACTTCCACTATCTTTTAGAAGATAGCAGTGCAGAGCTCAATACTGATTAGGTCTCATCTTAGGGTCTTTAACCTACTTCATTGTAATATGAAGATGTACATTCATTCTAATCAATAGGAAACTAAAACTGGATCTTCTACTAACAAATTTAATATTCAGTATTGCTGTAACTACAAAAACATTGTAAGAAACATAGGGACTTTAATATTACAGAACTGGGACTTCTCATAAGCTTACATATAAGCAAAGTGATTCTAATCATCAGTCCTAACGTGAAGTATGGCCACCAAAAGAAGCCTCCCCATAAATTTTTGCTCTATACAGATGATTTTCCCCCTTAAGATAGAGAATTACAGAAATCTCCCTCCTGAAAAAATCAATATAATGAAATACCAGAAATAAGGGAAACTTACTGAAATCATTTACCTCAATAGTACTATTGTTTTAATGGGTCACAAAAATCTGTGACAGATATTTGATCAAGCTGTTTCCATTAAAAATGTCGATTTTAAAAACTAATGAATTAAAACTGCAACACACAGAAGACCTAGTGGTTCACAAAACATTCTCCTTTCCTTCTAAAGGTTTTTACAATGCATTGTTATGATTAAACAGTCTTTTACTATTAAACTTAAATGGACAATGGAGACAGTTTTGGGTTCCTTCTACTCACTGATCAAGACTGGGTAGCAGGTGTTGGGTGTTTTCTTAGTCTTCTGCGCTTTAGGAGCAAAATCCAGTTACCCACTTAACCCAGAAGAACCATGTCTCATGTCAAAAACAACAAGACGGCCTAAAGAGGATAGTCAGAGAAGCTCTCAACACACATGGATTACCAGGAATCATATCAATCATGGCAGTGTCACAGATTCAAGAATTTGGGACCATTTCCCCACTTTTCACCCAATGAATCAATCTCCTCAGTACAACAAACTTGCAAGTAATGTGAACTGTGTGAGAATCCAGCACAGCAGTGTATCCAGCACTGATTTCTCCTGGGGGTTAGAAAACTCACACGAACTGTGAAGCCACCTTCATTGGTGGGACATTTTTGCTGTCACCAGCCACACTGCCACATCAATCACTTTTGTTGATATTGAAGCCCACATTGTCCCAAGGAAAGAACTCACTCAGATTCATGATGCATTTCAACAGTCATTTCTTCACTTTTGACACTGCCTGGTGACCACCATGCCAAGGTTGAGAACCTCAGTCTCAACTGGGCCCACAGGGACAGTCCCTATACCACCAGTGTTGTAGAATTCCCAGACGGACAGGTGCCAGGCTTGTCAGATGGACCAGTTGGTGACAGGATGCCATCCAGACTTCAAGTATCATTGTTCCACTGATATTGCCTCTTTATGAGTGACTTTCTGCCCCCTGAACCAAGGTATGTTAGCTCCAGCATGTTGTCACCAGTCCAACCAAGCACAAATGCTACTGTGTCAGGGTTGCAGCCAGTTTTTGTAATGCAGGTGCTAACTTCTTAGTTACTTATTTGTGTCTCTTCTGACTATTGGGTGGTTGGGTGGAATCCATTTTGTAAACACCAACAATTAGTTGTTTCACACCCAGTGTGTACACCAGAATCATGTTTATTCTTGGAGATAGTGGCTTCAGATTCACCAACACCAGCAACAATCAGGATCAGCCCGAGATCGTCTCTCTGTTCTGGATCACTGTGATAGTCACATAATGTTGGTCTCGATTGCCATGGGGAGAATGCAATAGTGACATTTCAGTTTAAAAACCCTTGCCTACTTGAAGGAGGCTTTCCAATCTCAGCAATTTTCTGGAATTTTTTGATGGTTCTTTTGTAGATCAGATGACCAATAGAGTGGCAGACATGCCTGAATATATGTATCCAATGATGGCAATGTTCTATAAACTCTACTTTTCACACTTTGTGTTAGTTTAGCTGTGACCTTCACACCTATGTTCTGGCAGCAAGCATGTTGCCAAAAAGCAACAGTCTAGCACTTCTAATTACTTTATTCTGTTACTTTTAGAAAACTGTCCATAGCCTAATATCAAGTTATATTTCACATCACCATTTCCATGTGAAAAAATAATACTATCTTACTGACATGTAGATTCTTACAGGTGTGGCCCATACAAGCAATCCTATTAGTCAACAATACGTTGTAGATGAAAATGCCTTGCCGATACTTATTCAGATTCTGAGAACTCACCCTTCTCCAATTATTAAGGTATGAAGATTTTAAGATTTGTTTCTGATATTTAAAAAATTAACAAAAGTAACAAGTATCTTACATAAGTTCACAAATACAAAAATACTAATGTTTTTTATTTAAAAATGTTTTAAATGTAGCATGTTTTTCTTATATTGTTAATTTTTTGAACAACATTAACTTTTTAAACACCATTCTGTCTTAAAGAAAAGAGTTGCTACAAAGATAGTAATGTAATAGTGATATTTAAATATGGCTTTTTCAAATGTGACCATGAGTCACATCTTTACTCATGAAAGTTTTATTCCTCAGATATTTGATCATTCCCAGAATGTTTTCCCTACCTTTTAGGGATTGGTTGCTAAAGCAGTGTAGGGATAATGGAAATGTATCATTTACAAAACAAAATTACTCAAATATAAGTGAATCCATTTCTAGCTTCCACTAAGCACCCTGTGCTGGCTGAGAACAAGGGTTTTCTCATGGGTTGATATTACAAAGAACTATTGGGTTATTAAACGGTTGTTCACTTTTCCATTTACTTCCAGGAAAATGCCTTCAATAAAATGACAGTTACCTCTATTCAAATCCTTTTACCAGGTTTTAGGAATTCAGGATGTCTACAATTGGGCAGGCAGGAAGTTCTAATAACAACAAAATGTTCTCTTCAAAATTTGGCCTGGGCTCTGTTGGAAATGAAATAGAAATGACATGGGAGGAAAATATGCAAGTATACATAGCATTTTTTCTTAGGAAGAGTTTTTTATTAGAAAAGTTATCAATTTTGTAGTTTTTCTGACTCAAGAGACTATGAAGAGTTAATTAGGAAAACAAAAAACTAGTATAAACTTTTTTATTTGAATGATGTGTAAAAACTATGTGGAAATGTGACATTTTTATTCTAAAATGTGCATTTTGTTAAAACAGTACTTTAATTGGATACATCCACTGACATATTTTAGTGTATATATATATATATAGAGAGAGAGAGAGAGTTCTTAAACAATAAACTATAAAATACATTTCAACACATTTCAAGATACTCAAATGAGATTCTATAGTAAACAAAATATTTCTGCAACAATTGTGCTTTTCAAATTCATAACATTTTTTCATAGAATTACATAGTGTAGTACTTAAAATTTTAACCTATTAATATTAAGTCCCAGTAAGATAAGGAATATTTACATTTTCTCCCATCCAAGTACATTTTCTAAAGGGCTTCATAACATGAATTAAATGACTCCAGAGCTAGAGGAGACAAACTTGCTCAGTTCTACTCCCCATGCTTTGCTTAAGCTGATAGGTGTTTCATTAAAATCTCAATGTTCAAGCAGTTCAAAATAGGTTTTTAACACATGCCAAGAAAATAAAGTTAAAAAATTATATGTGGAAGGTATATAACTTTGCACTTAAGATAGCACCTCCTTTATGTTCTGCTGGCCCTGACTGACAAACTCCCAAGCTCTTGAATGTAGCTTTTGTGGTTGCATTGCTACACAGATGAAAGAATTTTCCCATCTGTTAAAAATTACAAGGAATGCTCCACCAGATGTCAATGCTACTGTTAAGACTCTTAATAAATTGGAGTCAATGCATTTTACAGTATCTTTGAATTAGTGTGTCCCTTATAAATGCTGTATAATGAAATATGCCATTTGATAAGCTGTTCAAAATAAACTAATTTCTGGAAACCATTTATTTAGGTTGAAGTGGCATTTTCTTTGGCATGCATTGTCCTAAGGAATGATCAGTTACAGAATGAATTACGAAAACGTGAAGGATTTGAGTATGGTGACGTCCTTTATCTTATTCACTCACCAGAAAAGGTAATTAACTTTACAAAATGTTAAAGTTTAGAAGAGGATGGTTATTAGGCCACATACTCAAATTATCATCATTTTCATAACAAAATTAAATGTATTACTTCAGGAATGTAAACTCTCTTTGGTAGGTAATTAATTTGAAATGATGAAATAATATTGTTTCATATTGTTCATAGTTGTCACATTTAACTTTTTAAATATAGCAATTTTAAAACTTGGTGAAGAGTCAAGACACAACTTTTGTCCAGAATGCATCAAACTTTCAACCTAAATTTTATTACCTTTCAACCTTCAACATCTGCTTCTTACATAAGCTAGACAAATATTTCCAAACTACTTAAAATAAAGGAATAGCTTTTTCCTAGTAGTCAGTAATGGGGAGTTAATTTTCTTTTATTGAGGATTGTTTGCCTACATCGTTACTGGTCTTTTGGAAGTTTACACACACACACACACACACACACACACACACACACCTCCCTGCCTCCTTTCAGCTGTAGTTACTAGAGGGCAACCACCACCAAATCAATTTTTTTTTTTTAACAGTTTATTTATTTTTTTTAAAGATTTTTATTTATTCGTACAGAACTGGGGTACAGGCCAGAGATGCGGAGGGTGAGAGGGTTCACCAGAGACAGAGCGGGGAGCAGAACAGGCAGATCGACTAAGTACACTGCTGAGGGGAGCAGCGGGCGGGTCAGGAGAGGTCTGCCACGCCATGTGGTCACCTCCAGGGCAGGCGGGGATCGAACTCATGCAGAAGTAGCTTTAGTTTCTCAGTGTAGTGCTTTAACCCGCTGCGCCACCAGGGAGGGCCCCAAATCAATTTTTTTTTTAAATTAAATTTCAAGATAAATTTAGGTTTTATAAAAACTTGCAAAAAAATAATATCTGGTATACCCTTCATTCAGCTTTCCTGAATGTCAACCAGAAAACGGATACAATACTATTAACTAATATGCAGACTTTACTTAAATTTTGCCAGTTTTCTCACAAATGCCCCATTTTCTATTTTCAAATCCAAACCAGGATCCCACATCACTCCTAATTGATGTCTTTGTCTTATTTATTTAGTCTACTCTAACCTGTGAAATGCAATGCTTTGTCTTTTATGATTTTTGACATTTTTGATAAATCCAGGCAAATTACTTTGTGGAATGTCCCTAAATTAGAGTTACTGGTTTTTGCTCCTGATTCAGTTGAGGTTATCCATTTTGGAAAGAGTAATAAGTGATTGCTCTTGCCTTAACTTCCCAGTATCATTTCAGGGGGAACTTGAAATGTTTTGTAATTGACAGTGTTAAGTTTGAGAACTTGATTAAAGTGGTATCTGTCATATTTCTCCACTGTAAATATTCTGTTTTGCATCATACTTTGGCTCACCAATTTTAGCATCTACTGATGCAACAGTGATTATGGTGACATTTCATTAATGGCAATTAAAATCCCCTCTTTTCTTCCTTTGTACGTGTATGTATTGATACTTAACTATAAGGTTCAAAAGTTTCTTTCCTCTTTACTTAAAAAAATTACTTGCGGGCCCTCCCTGGTGGCGCAGCGGGTAAAGCACTGCACTGAGAAACCAAAGCCACTTCCGCATGAGTTCGATCCCCGCCTGCCCCGGAGGTGACCACATGGCGTGGCAGACCTCTCCTGACCCGCCCGCTGCTCCCCTCAGCAGTGTACTTCATAGATCTGCCTGTTCTGCTTCCCGCTCTGTCTCTGGTGAATCCTCTCACGTTCCGCATCTCTGGCCTGTACCCCAGTTCTGTATGAATAAATAAATAAATCTTTAAAAAAAAAAATTACTTGCAGAAATTCACTAGCTGCTCCAAGAATAGACAAAATTGTTCTAGTTCTTACTTCCCATCTGATAAGTGAAGTAAGTTAAAGATAACGCCTGTTTCTCTTATTTCTAGGATATTTGCTTAAGAGCATGCTATGCATTAACCCTCTTTGCCTTCAATAATTGCTTTCAACAATACTTAATACTGGAAAGGGGAATGATGACCATATCAATTTTTGAGCCTTTTCTTGAATCAACAGTTGAAACTGAGAGGGCAATGGCAGCATTTCAGGTATAAAATGAGGTTAAAATTTCAAATCAATAAATAATTCTGTGAAAACTTGAAAATTGGAAAAATATTGGAGTCTGGAAAAATGTTTACAAACTTGTAAAATGCACAGTATTTTTCATCTCAATCCTTTGCACCTCATTAAATTCCACTATCTATGAGGATCTTTATGTAGAATTTTACAAGTTACAAGGTGCTTCATCTGCTGTTTATAATAATTCTGTAAGGTTGATAGATAACTGGTATTTTCACCATCCCCGTATTACAAGAAAATAGGCATAGAGAAATACTGTCCAAGGTGAGTTTTCTAACTGCAAATCTTTATAGGTGATCCCATTCATTCTTCAAGGATGATAGCTGTATGTATCTGGGCTCCTGTCTTGCTTTCTTTCTGCTTTTTCTATCTTCTGACCTGTAGAAGGATTTTTGGTGAACCCATATAGCAGTGGAAAACATTGTAGAAAGAATTATCTTAACTGTTGTCACTGCATTGATTACATAGGGACAAACTCTTTAACTGTCTTTTTCTCTCCAACTTGTTTTCTATTGAATCAGACCAAATACCCCTTTTACCTTCCTGAGAGGTACTAAAACAACATAAAAGCTTACAGAAGCTGTATCCAAAGCATTCAATCATTCTTTGCTTTTTTCCAGATTATTATTTTAGCTAAAGTCATTATTGATGTTGACCATATCATTCTGTCTGCAAGAGGAGTTACCATTTTAGTGGATAGCCTCTATTCAGTTCATTCCAGTACTCTTATCTTGACAGGTAAGACAAGATAACTATATTCACATAACAAATCAAAAACAAACTTTTTTTTTTGATAATCTGAACAATAAGAAAACAAGTCTGATACTCTGTCACATAGCATTGAAGAATGAACTCATGTAAGTCTACACAGGACTCCAGAATAAGCATATATAAACCCTGGGTGTCTACTCTATACTGAGTAGGAAATAGCTTTCAACATAGCCATTTTGTTTTTCTAATTACTTTTTCTAATCCCTAATTATACTTTCCAGGGTATGCAGTTTTCCAGTGGGTCTAGTTTAGCATTCTTAACTCAAAGTTTTCTCCTTTTACTATCTCCTTTTGATGCTTGGACTCACCACCTTCATTTATTTGTTCTAGTTTTTACTCCCTATCTGAAAGACCCTCACCTTTCTCATTTCCCCTTATAATATAATGCCTTCTATAAACTCAGACTTCTAGAAATATAGGTCTGAAAAAATATTTATTTATTATTTTATTACAGTTTATTTTTACATCATTTTGTACATTTTTTTTTCCATCTCAATTGTAATCCCCGCGGGTTTCTCATCACCAAGTCACCCGTGTGCCATCACCATAATCCCGTGCACTTCCCTCCCCAGTCCC